GTGCCGTTCCGTTAAGAAGACGAACTTTTTCAAAATAAAAATAAAATATCATTTCAATTATATTTATTATTATTATTTCACTTTATAGTTAAAATAATTCTATATTATCTCATTAATTATTTCACATCAAATTTCAAATTAAATTTATTTTAATACACATATTTTGACAAGATCTATTAAAATAGGGAGAGAGGCAAGCAACATAGAACATATATCTTGATTACATGTGAATTACAAAAACATGTAATTGGAATATTGGATACACAAAGAGTGACGTGCGAGAAAGTCAAATACATGTGAATCCACTTGGATACAATATATCTAAAACATATTACACTTAATTTTAATCCATGACTCAAAGATATATGTATCTAGACGAGCAAATGCATATCTATTCAGAGTTCAAAATCTGATAAAATTCATAATATTACATGTTAATGTGAATCCAAGTAATTGACTTCTAAACTAATAGAATTTCTTTAAATCACCCCAAAAAAACTTTTATTCATCCAAAAATAATGTTATCCTTAACAATTAACTCAACCAGCTAACTATCTGAATTTTCACCTCGTCAATAACAGATTTGATTCTCCCAAAATCCCCTACCCCTACCCCAATTACTTTTTTAAAATAAAAAAATAATAAATAAAGTATGATCCCATGCTAGATTCAAGCATATATATGGCGTAGGGGCCAGTCTCATACCTAAATTATGCTTTGTTTTTTGTAAATTCCACTTGCATTTGTTAGGTTTCTGGATTTAATTCTTTTCTCTCATGTATGTAGTATTATTTCCCTTCACAATCTCTTTTATAATTAAAAATAAATGATACCTTCATATGTATAATAAAGAATTATTAATTTTAAATCTTGTATTTTATTCTTAATTACATGATTTTTATATAGCCACATCAATTTCATGGTAGGTTTAGAATCACACTTTCAAATTCTTTTTTAAACCCTCACATAAATGAAAAGAAAAAGGTGTTTTAGAAAGCAAAAAAAAAAGGTTAAACATTCTTAGGAAATATTTTAGTGTTTGGACAATTTATTGGAAGAACCTATTTTGGTTAATGTTGGTGAAAGTTGAAAAAAAAATCATGTTCTAATATAGAGAAATACACTGTTTTTAGACAAAAACATGTCATTTTCAGTCTTGTAACTTTTTTATAAAACATATATTAAAGTTAGGCTGGCTCTTTCTTTAATAAATAATAATTAGTACTCTCTTGACCTTAATTTTAATTGTTAGTTTAGTGAGTGGAATCATACATGTAATAAACTTTGTGATGCAAGATAACATTATTGCATTATAACATCTGTTAATTATATTATATACTACTAATATATAGGAGTTAGGAGTATTAAATATTAAAATTAAACAAATGATTGAAAATTAGTACTTGTTATCTTATCGAAGCCTTTTCTTTTCTAGAAACTTATATAATCATATATTGAAATTAAAAAAATTGATGGATTATACTTTTGTGCACATGGGGTAGGTGTCACTCTAATTATGGTATGTGGGTTGGATTCTTTAATATTATTCAATTTATATCTCTAAATGAAAGGCAATTGGCTCTTTTTTCTATGGTAGGTCATGACGTTTATAATTTTATTTTAATCATTTAGCATACGTATAGAGTTGAAATTAAATTCACAGTTTGCATACAAGCAAATCTTCTATATGTATGTGACATTTATTTGAGAAATAGTTCGTGCAATGATTTGTTTTTCTCAAAAAAAAAAATAAGTTTCATAACTCAATATTCTACATTGTTGAAATCAATTGACCTTCTCATATTGAATCACGTCCATAAAAAGTAATAATCAGTTTGTTTGTTCATTAGCTTTTTCTCATTCTTAACCCTAATCCTTATGAATAAATATATTATTTAGGGTGTAGAAAAATATTTTTTTCCGCATTAGGTGACAGATAAGTTTCGTAAAATACTAAAACATTTTTTGTCTTTAAAAGATATCTATATTGTGGACAAAGAAAGTTTATCTACTTTGTGAAAATTTCTGACAATTAATAACGCAAGTCATGATTTTTACAAATTCGCTTAAAAATCTTATAAAAAATATTTATGATTTAAATATTACACTTGCAAATACATATAAAAAAATTTACGTATCTTAATAGTGTTGTTCAACTTGAAGAATGATAGTTTATATACTCCTTTATATTTGAAAAAACAATGAAATATAAATCATATGATTGTAATTATAATTTTTGCTTTTTCTTGACTCGTGCAATGTGAAATGGTACTCGAATATCCTGGATTTGGTCCCCTCCAGCTACTCAAAAACATTTATAATTGGACTAAATTTAATTCAGGAACTATTTTAATTAATATTTTTTTATCAAACGGTCCTTAATCAATAAGTATATTTTGCTTTTCCTGCATGCATTCACATCAACTAAATATTGGATATTTATATAGTACATACTCTAGTATTTTATTCATAATATTATCATTCAGATATTTAAAATATAAAAGAGTTAAAAATATTTTTAAATTATATTAAATTAAATAACAATATTTAAAATTAATAGTTTGATCTAAAATATATTTTATCGTTAATATTTAGTTTTAAAATATCCATATTTTTATGTAATTCTTCAAAATAATTCTTTTTTTCATATAAATATATATTCCTTTTCAAACACGTTCTTTTCCAAATGATAGTTTTTTAAAAATTAAAGAAAATTTTAATTTATCTAAATAAAATTAATGATGAGTTATTATAATCTTATGTATATGATCTATTTTATCAATTTAAATGATAAAGTAAATTTTTTTTATTCTTAATTGATAAAATTAGATTGAGAAAATGAAAGGATTATTTTCTCCTTATTTATTAAGCTAAAATAATTTTGAATTGAAAGAAACAAGAACAAGTTCTTTAATAGTAACATTTTTACTAGGAAAAAATATGTTTAAAAAGAAAAAACACGGACTAATAGATTTATTAGGAAAATACATTTTGACCCATTAAGTCATAATAAACACAATTTTAGACTAAACTTTTAATAATACAAATATTTTTGAAACTGTTTATATGACAAACATTTTGAACCAAACTACCATCCTTTTTTAAATAACAAGAAGTCAAATCATTTGCTTTCGTTGACAAAAATTTCGAACATGAGACCTCTAACATAGAAGTCTCAAGCCCAAATCACTGGGCCACCTTGAAGGGTAACCAAACTACTATCTTAGGGCATTTTTATTCAATATTGCCCTTTTGACTCAATTGCTTTGGCTTACGTCAAGATATTTCAACCTTATTGTTTTATCTTGTTGAAGTTTAGCATAAAAATGCATAGACAGTTGAATCTTAAACTTAGTTTGTATAGTCTTGAAGGTTGTTACACTCAACTTTCTCTATTAGCCTCGTGTCTTTACGCTTGAGGATTACGTCTCAAATTTTAAGAATTATGTCTTATGAATTTATATCTTCAATCTATATCCAAAGCATTTTTAGTACGTTTTGCCTTAAGACTTGTTCCGATAACGTTTTGAAAAGACTAGTGTCAATAATTAGCATCATTAGTTTAAGGTTAGAGGATAAATGTATGAATTATGAGCAATCATCATCAAAACATTTAGAATAATTGAAAGGCAATCAATTAATTATTTTAGTTCTTAAAAGCCAAATAGATTCAAAGTCCAAAGATGCTTCCATTTGTTGTAGAGTCACCAGCCACTTGATGATCCTAAAGTCAAATTTCTAAGTACATGGGACAAAAGAGCGGTGCAACGATAATCCAAAAATTGCTAGGCTTATTATTAAAAAACGACGTAAGAATTTTAAATTTTATAATATTAATTTCAAGTGTTAATAACTGAATCTTAAACTTACGACTATACATGTTTAAGTTTCTTAATAAAAATATGCTACTTAATATAAGTTCCGTCTCTACTTGTTATTGCAACGGAACGTAGTAGCCTATTGAATTTTAAAAGAAAGTTATTTTAGAAGGATTGTTTATTTGTCGGGCATGCCAGATTTTCTTCCCCTAATTCTGGCACTTAATATGGTCAAACCAACATTCAGGTTTTATAAACTAATTTTATGTCTTTTCATGTATAATATAATAAATAAAAACAGGGACTGTAGATACATTAACCAAGAGGCAACGTTACCAAAGACTTCGTACTTTTATCATTTGCTTATTTCTTTTTGTTTGGTTATTAGAATTATTTTTATCTTCAATTTATATAATATATTTTTAAAAAAATTTGTTTCAAAAGAATATTATGCTTCTTTATTTGACAACTGCTTCATGAGAGTCTGAAAAAAGTATAAGAAAAAACTTGCATTATTCCATTCTATAAAGTGGGAAAAATTATATTAAAATTTAATGTTAGGAGATTGACGTCTGTTCTTTAACTTTTTTGATTAAATGGAAAAGAAAAATACACTAACCCTATTTTGGTTACTTCCTAAAAGGTGACTTTTTGTCTGAATTTTATATGTGTTGAGATTATGATGTAAATCAGTGCAACTTAATGTTAAGTTGTTCAGTCATGGGTTAGTCAGTCAGTTAATTGCATTTTATTCTATTAGTTAGTTACATGGGCATAAATAAAGATGTTCAGCTTAATGATAATCAGTTTTTCAGTTTCAAAAATTCAATCCTGCTTCATGATTTTTTTTCAAATTCGATTGTGAGCTCAGAGCTCCTTTCATGGAGTTCTTAGATAATTGATTTCAAATAGAGTCATCAATTCAACATTGTATCATAGCTAAGAATCCTTAGCCCACACTAATTTAATTTCCAAATTCACAATTTCACTTCTTATCCTCACGCAACTTCTATTCGTGATTTTGCGATCTCATTTTTGCTTGCTCTCTTAATGCATTCATGCTCACCTTGATTGCTTGCTTATTATCCATGGCACCAACCAAAGATCAACCAATTCTTGAATATCAGGATTCCAACAATGGTATGTACATAAATCCATCAAAAAAGGTTGGTTCTTCAATCACTCTAGTCATTTTCAATGGAACTGGGTACCGATCATGGAGGTGAGGCATACATCGAGCACTTTTTGTAAAGAACAAGACTGGATTTATCAATGATAAGATCCCAAAGCCAACTCTTACTTCACTTAGATTTGACCAATAGGAATAATGGGATGACATGATAACTTCTTGGCTGTTAAACTTGCTTTCAAAAGATTTAGTTGATAGCTTACAATATGTGAACAATGCTAAGGAGTTATGGGCCGAATTGACAGATAGGTACAACCAGACCAATGGTGCGAAGTTATACCAACTTTACATAGGATATGAATAATCTCACTCAAGAAAACCTTGATGCCACATGTTACTACACACTAACATCAAAAGGCTATTGGAAGAACTGAACATCTTGGATACAAACACACAATATACTTGTTTGTTCACTTGTGGTGGGAAAACTAAATTTCACAAGGCAGAGCATGATGGGTGACTTATTCAATTACTAATAGACTTGAATGAAGTCTACATAGTTATCCGAGGGAGCATTTTGATGATGCATCTCCTAACTACTATGCTTCAGGCATTCTCCATCTTAGTCCAGGAAGAAAAACATCACGAGGTCAGACATCACAGTCATATTCACTTAGATTCAACCTCACCGAGTGTGACAACAAGATGTAGCACAAATTTCATCCACTCTAATGTATCCAATAGTAACAATAATTTCAATTTTAGGACAAACTATTTTCCATAGCTGCTTCCAAGCCATATTTCACCAACAATTGTTCTTCTAGATAATCCACAGGATCACCCATCCACTCAGGCAATTTGAATGTTCTTTTAGGACATATCCATCAAATCATGGAAAAGAACACGTGTTTTGTAACTAATGTAAGAAGTTAGGTCACTAAAGACAAATGTTATAGACTATATGGCTTCCGTAAGGATTTTAAATTCACCAAAAAAGGAACTCAAGGTCACCATCAACTATACTTGGAAACACAGAGGCTTGCTACCTGAGAATTGTGAGAGTGCTCATTTTCCATGATCAGATCACGGTTTTATAACAGTCTCACACACGATTAGTACAACAAGTTGCTCACTCTTTTAGGAAGCATTCATGTTCGTAAGGTACGCGCTAGTGATGGCCAGATGAACCTGTAGACAAGCTCTTCAATGGTATGCAATTTGGAACCTTGTAGATATCTTAGCTTTCCAGTCCTACGTTATTAAGACAAGTATTTTGTTATGTGACTGTGTTAATTTGTTAGTTGAATGCATAAATAATAGATTTCAGAGTCACAAATCACATGACTTACAATAGAGCGTTACTCACTAAAATTAAACCCCTACCTTACTCATTTTTGTTACTTTACCAAATGGAATAGAGTTAAGGTGACAAAAATTAGTGATGCTTACGTAAATCCAACATTAACTTTGCATGAAGTGTTAGATTATACCTAGTTTCAAGTTCAACTTAATTTTTGTCTATTTGTCTAACTTCACAACATAAATGCGTTATCAGTTTCAATAGTTCTTCATGTCTTATGCAGAGCCCTTCATTGAAGCGCCCTCCGAAGATTGGTAGAGCAAGATATAACTTGTACTTTACTTCTTCAAAGTGTCTTAATTGCAACATTTTGCCTAGTTTTTGTAATACTTCAAAAATAACTTAGGTGAAGCTAGATCCTAAAATGTTTGTCATGAGGGTCTAAGGTCCTAAAATGGTTTATAATGTGGTATTGAGGTAGTGTCTAGAGTTTTAGGGGATGACTAAGACGTTCGACGACTAAGTCACCTATGTGCCTCATGTGTGATTATGTTCCTATATGTGCGTTTAATGAGCTTATGAGGTTTTTACATGAGTTATAATAGTGTTTATAGGCAGCGTGTTGAGTTTCATGAAGTTTGGAGGTCAAACGTTCAAGAACGTCCATGACGTTTTAAAGGTTTGCTTTGAAATGACCTCGTGTGTCTTAGAATCTTTTGTCGAGTTCTATGCATTCGTTTTGGATGAAATTTATATGGAATGTCTTAAACTCATATACGAGAATATTTGGATTGGAAACGTCCAAGTAAAAGTCCCCAAGGACCATCCAAGGGTCCTTGAGAAAGGACCTTTCTCAAGATCCAAGACTGCCCAAAACTGTCACAAACGATGGAGGCAGTAGACGGCTCGTTGGCCAGTCAATGGGAGTCTTTGGTCAGTACTTAGGCGTCGGAGCCTGATATCCCAATGGACAGGCTCTGATGAAACAACGACCAGCCAGGACGGTCCGTTGATTGACAAACGGTCCGTCAACAGGGTAGTCGTCGATGGTGTTGTTTCCTGCGCAGTTACTGTTAAGTGAAAGGGGTGAAATGGTAATTTCACCCCACATTCAAATAATAATTTGGGAGTTTACTTAGGGGTACTTTAGGTATTTTAAACATGTTTATAAGCCTTAAACACTTAGGAGAATTCATTCTTCAAAATCAAAACCCAAAGTCCTAAAAAATTCTCTAGAACTCCATTGAAGCCAAAACTCAAGGAAGTACTTGGATTGGAGATTTGAGTGGTTATTCTTCATAAAATTGGTGGATTAACATTATTAAGGTATGATTTTTGATCCTTCGAACTCTTTTCTTCAGGGAGTCAATCTTCAAAGTGATTTTTAAAGACTTCTTAAAATATGAGTTTTCTAAATTGAAATCTATCCATGGGTTCTTGCATTAAGGGTTTTAAATCATTTAATATTGATTGAATCATTTTTAATTAGATGATTTTAACATAATTAACCTATGAACCCATGTAATTGATGAACCCTAGTTTTTGACTACTTTATGGGTTAAGTGATATTGACTTAATGCTTATGAATTCTAGTGTAGTTTTCTATGGGCTATTGAATAATGTAAGAATTGTATTCAATTGATGTCTAATTGGTATTATATTGTTAAATCTATATTGAATTGACTTAGATTCATTGAGTATTATAGATTATGTATTGAATTGATGTTCATGGTCATGGGTAAGGGCCTTATGATATTGAATTGGATGATTAGGCGTTGCCCTAATTATCTTTATTTTATGTTAATTAGACTTAAATTATATTGTGATTGGTATGGTCCACTTATGGTGGCGGTGGTATGTGTTTTACTTGCAATTGATGTGGCCTTGTCGGCGTTACATTATGTATTATGATGATCATGGCCTTGTCGGCAACTTACTTGAAGTATTATGATGATTTGTGTAGTGATTATGTGAAGTATGATCATATATATCTACATATTATTGAAGTGAAAGTATGTGTTCTTCTACTGATGTTGTTAGGTGATCATGTTAGACTATGACTATGTCATTATGTGTGTAGTCTTAGAATTGATGCATGATTCTTCCTAATTGACTATATGAGTCTATGATGGTTATATTGATGATGTTATATTAGTGTATAGGATGACTTATAGATGATAATGGTTATTCCTATGTGCTTCTAGAATGATATGCAATATGTGCTAAAGTGAAGTAATGTTGTGTCTTGTTTTGGTAGACTTGAGTCCCTTACTTGATACATATATGAATGTTAATATGAGATGTCTTGACTTAGAATGATAAAGCCTCTTAGTCTTTATGTATGAATGACATGAGACCTTGAATGATGCTAAGAGGGTCATTTATGTGGAAACTTGAACCTAGTGGTAAGGTAATGAACCTTGAAGTCGAAAGTGGTAATGGTATCCTTCTTGTAATGAAAAGTTTGGTTAGATGGAATGGCATCATCATATGATTCTTAGGAAAGTCATAATGAGCTATCTTTTGTCGCTATTGTAAGGCAGCCCTAGGGGACCTTTTTGGTAGGGTGAATGTGATTAGGTTATAGATATGAAACCGTTTGTATGAACCTTCAATGTCAATTACTCTATGAGAACAAAGGCTATCACCGAGTGAGTATGGTAAAGGAAGTATCTCTAGTTAAAGGATGAGGCTAGAGTGCAAAGTGAACCCTTCATATTCCCAAACCATGTGCCTACATGGGATGTGTCCAAGTTCTACCATTGTCAAGTAGAACACCCTCCATCGGAGTAGGTTACAACTCCGGATTCCATGCTTTGATACCATGATCTATGTCGGTTATTGCTTATTCTCATCATATGGGATACTAACTAGTGTTGGAGAAGTTCTATGAAGTTTAGGTGGTGGTATGAGATGCTATCTAGACATTGCACAATAGGCTTTAAAGATGTTAGTGAGAGTCCATAGGTCTTCTCCAAGACCATTACTTGAATGCCCTTTATGTCATGGAGGTCTCCTAAATGAACTAATGAATGTAATGATTTAAGTTAGAAAAACATGTTAAATGAATAAGCACTTATCTAGAGTAGTTAAAGGTTTTCCAGTTAAGGTGTGAAGGGAGCATAGGAATGGTCACTTCGCATCTTACCTAGATAAATTTTAAGAATGACTCTAGTTAGGGAGGTTGGTTGATTAAGTAGACATGATCTAAGCCTTTGGTAGTCTTAAGGATTATTTAGGTAATCTTGAAGAGGTCAATCATGGATGTTATCTTCTTGATTTACTTAAGTAAGTCTTTTGATAACCTTTGTATTAAGTGAGAATGATTCTATCTTAGGTAGTCCAAAGGATACCTTAAGTGTGTATGAAGGAATTGTATCGACGGTCGCTTCACAACTCACTCAAGTGAAACTTAGAATCACCTTTGGTAGGAGGATATCATGTTTATGTGTTTGGTGTATTGTAAGTGTGTATCTCATTATGGGTAGTCTTAAGGATCATTTAGGTGTGCCTAGAAAGGGTGTATGTGTATCTCATTATGGGTGGTCTTAAGGATCATTTAGGTGTGCCTAGAAAGGGTGTATGGGTGGTCTCTCTTTATCATACTTAAGTGATTCTTAGTATAACTTTTGGTGAGAAGATTACATGCTAGAAAGTGTTCTATGTGAAGTTGATAGGCTTCACTGTAACGGTGAAGGAGTTCACTATAACATGAAAAATAGTCACTTTAATGTGACATGATCTTACTGTAAGGTTTTCCTAAATATGGGAATAATTTCTTATGTGTTTCTAAGGTGTTAAATGTTATTCTTATGCTTATGATATGATGTTTTAATCAAAAAAAGCATGTTTCTAATAAATGTTCATTTTCATGATTTTATGCATTAAGCCATACTTAGTACAAGTGTTTGTACTAATTCTATACATTTTGTTATATCTAAAGGTGTAGGTGGAAGATGAAAAGGATCATGAAGGACAGCTTGGATTCTAGTGTTGTTCAAGCAAAGTTGAAGTATGTCCTCAATTGACTCGAGGGCATATATGTCTTTTATTTTAAAGTGTTGTAATAGACTAAGTATTTCTATATTCGTATTGTATGGGTCGTGTCCCAAGTATTCTTGAGTCTAAGAATGACATATGTTGAGACTTCGCATTTCTATGATAATAATATGAAAATATGTTTTAAGATATTCGTTTGAAAAGTTTTAATTTCGCACTTCTTTTCATACTTATATATGCGATGAATGATACGGAAGGGCTTGTACAAGACCTCCGAGAGGTCAAGTACTCCGGTCTACGACCTAAGAAATGCCCTAACTTCTAGGGTATAGGTACGGGTCGTGACATTCTGAATCTCATGTTCTAATATCTTAGGTTTCTACCTTACCTTTTGTATCAAATAAGCAAACTCACTCATCTTGTATTCCTTTTGTAAGATTGATTCATGAAAGTAATAAAAAAAATTCGTTATAGTTTTCAAAATCCTGTTAATAGTGTATGTTTTTCTTATTAACATGTGTCCTACACATCTAATGAAAGTGTGAATCGACATATAATGTTAGGCCACATATCTTTTGGTAAAATGAAAGAAATCCTTACATTACCATTTTCCTTGCCCCAATTAACCCTTCACTCGCACTCTGTCTGCCCTAAACAAATAAGGATGTCATTTCCAACTAAATCAACACCACTGCTCACCAAAACATTTGAATCTGTTTCATATTGATCAATGAGGCCCATATTCACACACCAACACATGAAAATAAGAAAAATACTTCCTAACCATGTTTGATCACTTCAACAGATTAACATGGACTTAAATATTTAAGTATGAAAGAAATGCTCTCCATACCATTAAAGACTTTATATGTCTAATAGAAACTCAATTTCAAACTAGAGTCAAGTTTATTAGAACAAATAACGGGCTAGAGTTTACTAATAAAGAAACATATGATTTTCTCCAATGTAAAGAGATCATCCATCATAAAAGATTCTTTGGGAAGCGCATGTCCCCGTGCCACAACCACTCCTTCCACGGTTCCCCAAAAGAATTTTGAAATAAGTTGATGAATTTGCTCTGTTACTTTCTTGGGTGTATTTAGAATCAATAACATGTATATCAGCATAGACTGGAGAACGCTACTCACGAGAACTCGTCCCCCCCCCCCCCTTAAATGAAAAATATTTTTTATGCCAAGAAAATATCTTCTTAGCAATTTTCCTAATCAGTTCCTCAAAATAATTGGAATTTTCCCTCCCATTAAAGACTTAACTTTCCAAATAAATGAGAGGGAATTTCCTTATCTTATTCCCGTTATATTCTCATCCTAATCGTCATAACGAAAGGAGTCTTATCATGTAGATAAAAATAATTCTTTCATTTATTGATCATTTTTTAGGAGACATTTTCATAGCCTTTCAACACTATCATCATCTTGATGACTGAACGTCTATCGCTTAAACAAAATAAAATAGTATATTTGCATATGATAGGTGATTTATCTCCGAGCTCCATTTCGGTAATCCATATCCTTAAATTCTGCATCTCTATGTAAATTGTTTAGACACCCAGCTAGGACTTGCGTAATAATAATAAATAGAGTTGGAGATAAAGGGTTTCCTTGTTTCAAACCCCTAGATAAATGAAAAAATAATGTATTTTTCATTTATAAAAACTGAATATTAATTGTTTGATACAATTCTCCATATCATATCAATGATCACCTAAGATATCCCAAATCTCTTGAGCACTTTAGTTAGGAAAACCCACGACACTATATCGTATGCCTTGTCCGTATCTAGTTATGCCACTATATTAACATTTTTACTCCTCATATGAATGTCTTTGATTATTTCATGTGCCAATAGGACATTTTGAGTGATACTCATGCCCTTCACAAAACCAGACTGAGTAATGGATATAATCTTGTGTAAAACCATACTCATCCTCACATAAATCACCCTAAAAATGATCTTATTCATAAAATTACTAAGACTTATAGGCCTTAGATTGGAAAACCTCTTGACTAGTTCTGTTTTGAATATCAACATCAAATTCGTATGGGTGATGTATTTGGTAAGCTCCTAACCCAAAAAAAGTCTTTGGCCATTTTAGTAATATCTCCACCTCTAATATCCCAACAACGTTGAAAAAATATCTTGTGAATTCATCCGTCCCCCACACACTATTCCCATTAAATACAAAAATTAAAGTCTCTACTTCCTCCTTTTCTTGTAGCCTAGTCATATAATCATTCTCCTCATCTATGATACATCGTGGAATATGATATAGCATGTCATAGTTAATTAGCACACTATCCTCTTGAAATTGATCTAGAAAATGAATCCGTTGCTCCTTGTCCTCTTTGAGAATTCAGTTGTAAAATACTCCCCTACTCCGTTATAACTTTCCTAAAGTGAAACGTATTTTGTATTCCTTTCACATAAGAGTGGAAAATTTTGGGGGTTTTGCCCTTTTTAAAACCCATTTCATTTCTGCCTTTTGCCTCCAAAATTCTTCCTCTATTCTCAGGTATTTCTTGAGTTCCACTCCCACTTTGCTCAACTATGCCCTATATCTTGTTGCGGGTTGTATCTCTAATTAGGTCTACTTTATTCTGATGATGTCCTTTATAGTGACAATTTGTTGAAAAACATTGCCAAATACCTCCTTGCTCTAGACTGTCAATGCTTGTTTAACCTTCTTCATTTTTGCTTGAAACTTTATAAATGGAATTTTCAGCAAAATCTACCTACCAATTCTCAGTCACCATCTTCTTTATGTTTTTGGGTTTACTCCAAATATTCAAGAATCTTAATGGTCCAAAAAAAGAATCTTCTATCAAGTTGCAAATTATGTGTAAATGTGCACGAGTATAATCAGATTAAGTACCTCTAATGAAAGAAACAAATCCATAAATTCTTAATTCACCAGTATTCTTTCCAACATTTTAAATATACATTTTTCTTCAATTCTCCTATTACATAATGTATATTTCTTTCCTATACACCGTACTTCTACTAGGGAACTATTGCTAATAAAAGATGCAAATCCATAGCCTCATTTTAAGTGATAGTGATTCCTCATAGTTTCTCCTCTTAATTTAAAATCACATTGAAATCACCCCAAGAATTCAAGGAAAATATCACTCTCATCAAATCCTGCTAATTTTTCCTATAATTCTAATCTTTCTATCACATTACATCTCGCATAAACAATCGAAATGAGGAAAGACTTGTTCTTGATTTTGAAATTTATGGTTACCTCATAACACCTCTAAAAATCAACTAGGTGAATCTAGAGACAAACATGTGTTTCATGAGGTTATAAAGTCCTAAAATGTTTAATTATAGTATTTATAGGCAATGTTTAAAGTTTGGAAGCGTTTGGAGGTCAAATGTCCAAGACATTTGAAAGTTTTGCCTTGAGAGTACTTGTATGTTAAACGTGTGTCTTTGCATGTTTTACGTGTTCGTTTTGGTTCAAATTGATGTGAGAGGTTCCTACGTTTATATGAGTGTAATTGGGTTGGAAACATATGGTCACAACTCCCTAAGGACCACCCTAGGGGTCCTTGAGGAGGACCCATCTTGTGATTCAAAACTGCCAAAAAGCAGTCTAAACCAACGAAGCCAATCGACTGACAGTAGGTCCATCGAAACCCCGTCGACTATAGGCGTAGCCCCATTCTTAGTGTGGGATATTAACCCTCTTTGAGGAGTCTCTGAACCAAACCACGGACCTGCAGGATGGTCCGTAGGTAGGTCGATGCTCCGTAGGTGCTGCCATCGATTGGCACATGCAAGTTTTCTATAGATGTCTCGGCCACGACAAGGGTGTTTTGGGAATTTCACCCAGTGTTCTAAAAAATGGGTGGTTACTTAAGGGCTTTTTGGGTATTTTAAGTGGTTTTATATGTCTATAACCTCAAGTTAAGTTCATTCTTCAAATAAAAACCCTAAGACCCCAAATAGAATTCTCTTGAACTCCATTGGAGCTTGAAGCAAGGTGAGAGCTTAGAGCTTGATTTCTCCATCAAATTTTCATCAATTTCGTGGCTAATCATCAATCAAGGTATGGTGTTTCATACTTGAACTCTTTTTCTTCAAGGAGACAAACTTCAAAGACTTTTCTATGACTTCTCAAAAGATGAATCTTTCTATTTTGATATCTAGCCATGGGTTCTTGCGTAAAACGATTTGAATCAATGATTTATGTTATAATTGATCTTAATTGAATGATTTTATATCAAAATTCCTATGAACCCATGCAAATCATGAAATTTTAATTTTGGCTATGATATGAGTGGTTTGATCATAGCTCTATTGTATTGATTTATTGTGTAGATTACTTTAGGCTATTGAATTATGTAATATTCAAGTTTGAATTATATATAGGGTGTCTTTATTTGATGATTTCCATATTGTATCATGTTGGATCATTGTATGGTTTGATTATTGGATTGGATTGGTGTGTATGACTATTGGTACGAGCCTTTATGGATTAAATTGGTTGGATTGGCTAAGGATTGGACATGTTTTTGATGGAATTGTGATAAAATGATCTAATCTCTTCTATATTGTGTAGTATAGGTATTGATTTGTGTTGATTGGTATGATCCATTTATGTTGGCGGTGCTTATGTGCTATAATTGTGAAAATGTGGTCTAATCAGCATTACTTTATAAGTTTTGATGTTATCATGTTATATAACTTGTATAGATGATCATTGTGAAAGCTTATATGGTTTATCTGTATATGGTAAGTCAAAGCATGTCTTCTTCTAAATGATTATGAGCGATCATGATAAGCTAAAATGATGCCTTGTATGTGTATACTTTATGTTGAAGTGTGATTCTTCCTAGTTGACTATATGAGCCCTATGATGAGTTATGTTAATGTTTCTATAGAAGTGTGTAGGGTGACTTGTAGTATACTTGGTTTTCCCTATGTGCTACTTGAATGATATTGTATGTGCTGAGATAATGATATGTGTGCCTTGTTGTGGTAGACCTAAGTCCGTCTACTTGATACTTGAAGAATATGAATATGACTCTTGACTTAGTAGGTTAAAACACATTTGTCATGTATGTGTATGTATGATTGAAATATGACCTTGAATATGGTTAAGAATGTCATTAATGTGGAACCTTCAAACTAGATAGAAGGTTATGATATCCTTGAAGTTG